TAGACGTCTTCTAACCAAATCCTCCACATGAATCTGGTGCAGTGGTATCATAAAGGCAAAGCAAATATTCAAATGACTGTAATGAAAATGCTAATGAAACCCATTGAGATTACGCCTGCTTTCGTCCAGGCACCGAGTCTAGATATAGGGTCACACACAGCTGCACCGCATCAGGGGAGACTCTGAAAAGCACATAGAGTACTGTGAAAGTACATGAAAGGGCTAATGGAAAAGGGGGAAACACATTCAGTATAGTGGGTAGAATTCAAGTGTTTGACATAGAATAAAACTGACTTTTCTCTAGCGATTGCTAATATTTTGCCCTGTGGCAATGAACAACTACTGTATCCAGAGCTTGTCTTACATAGTTTATCTCACTCTGTCTGTTTGAGAAGGGCTGCCTAAGCCACAGATGGAGTGGCATCTCCACAATTTATTATTTATTTATTAGTGGCACAAACACACACGCACACACACACACACACACACACACACACACACACACATATATTAGGGCTGAAGAAATGAATAATCACATTCAAATAAGAGTTTGTGTTTACATAATATATGAATGTGAATTGTTTATATTTATTATGTATATATAAATACACACACACACATACATATATATATTTATATATATATATATATATATATATAAATGAACACATACTGTATATATTTAAGAAGAATATAATTTTTTTCTTAAATATATACATGCATGTGTTTATTTATATACATATATACATAAACAAATATACACAATTCACACACGAATATTATGTAAACACAAACTTGACAGCCCTAATATATATGTTTGTGTGTGTATGTATATATATATATATACTGTGTGTATATATATACATATGTGTGTGTATATATAAAAATATAAATATATATAAATATATATATATATATATACTGTATATATATATATATATATATAGAGAGAGAGATAGATTTCTTTTGTTTTTTGCTGTGTTCCTGTTTTCACACACATTTCCCAAATTACATCATAACACTCACTCCTTAGACATTTCTGATACCTGTTTGGGAGTGTCTACAATCCAATCATTTGCAAGTCCTCACTAGTGAAAGGAATGCTAGTGTTTCAAAACAGTCTTTGTACCCACATTTGACACGTTGAAAAACCAGAATGTGACGGAGACATGGGTTCAGGTTCTTTTACTACAGTGAAACAGCAGGGTGGAGTGCTAATAATTACTGCGGCACCAGAACAAGACTTAGAACCAGTTTAAGTTCAGTTCACAGAGCGAGAATGGAAAGGTGAATAAAATGGACAGTGTATAAAGATCACGCAGTTCAACTACTAACACAGACAGCTGAAATTGCCCAAGACTGGCAATCTCCAAAACAGCAGTCAAAACTGGGCAAAGCTTGCCAAACCAAAGGTTTGAATTAGGTCATTGTCACGGAGTGTGTGTTTGGAGATGCCGGTGAAACTCAAGTTTTCTTATAAGTTTTCAAGAGGGTGAGAGAGTCAGGTGCTCGCTGTATTACAAAAAGACCAGGAGTCAATGAACAGGCTCTTTTGGATTGGTTACTGTCTCAAGTCAGAACATTCTGTGAAGGAACACTGTGTATTGTTGCTGTCATGGGAGTCAATAGCCTTCTCAGACTTTGGTTGGCTCTTCCATCTCTTACAACTGAATTAAAGATTCTTCCAAGCAACAAACTTTTTTGTTTAATTGCTGGGAGAGTCTTTAATTGCTTGTCAAATGCTTATTAACGCACATCACAGAATGCAATTCCTAATGAATTTGTTTCACAGTCCTGTTGCACAGGATCTTCTAGAATGCAGTCTGCATTAACATTACATAAAACATGGAACTAAAGTATGACACTGCAAAAACATCTACACTTAGTTACTCAATCATCACAGTGAAATGAAAAAGACCAGATGTGGGTCCATTCCTGTTGTTTAAATACAGATAACTGTTAACCAAGAATATATACACTTAATTAACAAATGACAAACATCAAAACAGCTTTATTATTCATAATTACTCTTAAAGTGATGCTGCTAAAAATAACATTATTTTGTGTATTTGGTGTAATGAAATGTGTTTATGTGGTTTAAGGTTAAAAAAACACATAATTTTCCACATACTGTACATTATTGTTTCTCCTCTATGCCCCGCCTTTCTGAAACGCATCGATTTTTACAAAGCTCATCGGTCTGGCCTAGAGTGAGCCGCGGCCTAGAGTATGCGGAGGCTGGTGGGCTTGAGAACAGCGCAGCCAGCGGGGTGGCGGCAACCACATGTGACGACCCTGGGCTGGACACCACTTTGTCCGCAGTGAAAGCTGATCCGGCGATCCACAGCGCGAAGTTGATGTATTCCCTCAGCGACCAGCACGGATCAGCTCCAGGCAAGCGGATATCGTCTTTTGGAAGGCCAAACAAAGTAGTTTTGCTTTCACAACGAAACACAGCGCCTTCACGACATGGCAGCGGCGGCAACAAACACTCCAAAGAGAAGGAAAAATCGCATCATATGACCCCTTAAGATTATTGATACAAATGAATTATATCATAAATGTGGTCCATACTGTACGACTATAAGATTTACGTGTACCGCATCTCACGTATGGACCACTTTTATGACACGTTTAAAGGGTTACTCCACCCCAAAATGAAAATGTTGTCATTAATCACTTAACCTCATGTCGTTCCAAAACCGTAAAAGCTTTGTTCGTCTCTGGAACACAAATTTGCGTAAAACGTTTTCTACGATTATTTACACTTTGATTTGAACAAAAACAACGTATCTGTGTGGTGCGGTTGACACAGAACAGCATACGCTGTTTACGTTCAGTGGATACTCTCCAAAATGGCGTTAGGGTGATGCGGAGGAGACGAATTGTTGAATAAAGTCGTTATTTTTGTTTTCTTTGCTTACAAAAAGTATTCTTGTAGCTTCATAAAATTTTACCGATCTCCTTGCTATGTTTCTGGACGTTGATCGTGTTAATTACATTGCTGTCTATTGGAGGGACAGAGAGCTCTCAGAATGCATCAAAAATATCTTAATTTGCATTCTGAAGACGAACTAAGCTTTTACAGGTTTGGAATGACATGGGGGTAAGTGATTAATGACAAAATTTTCATTTTGGGGTGGAGTAACCCTTTAAGGTGTTTTTGAAACCCTGCATAAGTCCAGCATCTACATCAGAAAGAATACAAACAAAATTAATTAAGGCTTATTGATGGTTGAAAATAGTCTTTATAAGTGGAGTGCTGGTCTAAAGATTTTCTCCTGGGTTCATATAATCCTGCTGATATTCATTAGGTGCTGCTTGGTAACCGCTCTTAATTATTATCACATAATAATCCACATTACCACCAATTAGTATCCACCAAATCAGTATAAAATGACTAAATAGACAAGGAATATGAAGAATATTTACAGCATATTTAAAATGTAGGCTAGCAGGACACACCTACATCAGCCAAAGACTTGTGTTTTTTGATGCCTACATGTTCCCATTTGCCCACTGTGAGTCCCTGCCAGTCTAAGCTTGCCCTTCCTTGATGTCACGTTGCTATGGTAAGATTGGTACGCTCCCTTCCTATTCAAAACCTGCTTTCTCTGCTGCATCTGATCTAAGACAAAGAACTTAACACACAGTTTCAGAAAAACAACGTGTCTGAATACATCACAGTTCTTGCATTATCTAAATGAAAGAGAATAGATCAGAAATGTAATCACAGATTGCTGGTGATATAAAACTAAGCACAATTGTTAATAAAACAATGATTTTAACAAGTCTTTTTATTTGGCCAGTAAGTGAGTTGAAAGGTTGAATCAATTTAGTGGATCAGACTACTGATTCAAAACTCAGATTCATTTGAGACTCTTTTAAAGGGGTCATATGATGCAATTTAAATTTTTCCTTTCTCTTTGGAGTGTTGCAAGCTCTTGGTGCATAAAGAAGATCTGTAAAGTTGCAAAGACTAAAGTCTCAAATCCAAAGAGATATTCTTTATAAAAGTTCAGAGTCAGCCACACCTACCTAAAACGGCTCATTCTAACACACCCACACATGTCTACCTCACTATGTGGGAAGATCTGCATAAAGCCGCCCAAATGTTCACGCAAAGAAAGAAGGCGTTACTTTTATTCTCGCTCCTTCGTCGGATCCGCCGGCTGCGCCGTTCTCAACCCCGCCGCCTCTGCTCACTCTAGCCAGGCCTCAGCTCACGCTAAGCCGGGGCTTCCGCTAGGCCGCTGTGTTTTTCGTTGTGAAAGCGAAACTACTTTGTTTGGTCTTCCAAAAGAGGACACAACAACAAATCAGTGGTTAAGTTGTATTTACAACACTGTTCCAGAACACTTCATCCCAAATATCCAGATGTGTGCAGCACATTTTATGGAGAACTGTTTACCTATTGTAACATTTACCATTATATAATCAGAGCAGTATAGAAAAGTTTATGAAAGTGTCACTCCATAATACAATAGCAAAATATATAAATATGTATAGTATTTTTATGTTACATTAATCAGTGTCTAGCACACCTTCCTAAGGAAAGGATATGGACCAGAAGACAATGCAATTACTAAATGATATTTAGACAGACTTTCCAGATCTATACTTGTGCTCGTATTATTTCAGTTAGTTTGCCTTTAATGTAAATAAACATGTGCAAACAATATTCTTGCTCTTGTGAATTTATTTGGATGTTAATAACATTGTGCAAGCTGTCTCTTTAATACCGCTAATACATGTTGCTGCTGATTAGGCTGACATGTTTGACACACCCTCCAAACAAGAGAAAACGCATGTCACCCCGTTGCACACCGTTGCACACCGTTTCCAGGAAGCATGTCGTTCAAACCGGAAACAGTAGCCTCTGACAGCATCGATGAAACGATGCGAGTATATCGCGCCACAGACAGTAACGTGCAAAAACACACCCGGGGAAAAACAGCCACGCTTCTGCTCTATCATAAATGGTGCATGGCTTACCGGGCTGCCGGAGTTTTCAGTCAAGTAATTGAAGACAAATGAAGAGAGCTCCTCGTCTAACAGTGAAGCGCAGTCCGCCATCTTCTAGAGAATGAGATGAGAGGAGCCAGAGAGCGCTGCTATACTCCTCTCCCCGCGTGCAGTGAGGATCTATAACCGACCGAGGGCAGTGTGCTGAGGTGCCTCAGTGCTTCCCAATCATAATCATGGCGGGGTTAAGTAAAACAGCAGAAAAAAAGTGAATTATCTGAAGGTGCAGGTGGGTTAGACACAGGTTGGTGATGGCTGAAAAAGGATGTCGAGACTAGGTGCAGGATGCATGTTCCCAACTGTAACTGAACCTGCTTGTGCTGTCTGGATTACAGTGTCTATGACTCATTTATGATGCTAGTTCATGATGTCTAAAGTCCATGCTTTGTGCAGGTAATAGCGTATGTGGTTGCATCCTTTACTATAGTATCTCCTTATATGCACAATGCAGTAAACACAACCGAGCATTATTTTCTGGGCATGCTGCTTATGGTGCCCAAAATCTAAACATCAGCCAATATTTATGCTTTACAGTTTTATACAGTTTGACAGCTCCAAAGACAGCTTTGTTAATCATAGTAAAAACTTTGTATAATTTAAATGTATTACTAATATTTTATTATTTGAGTGCTTGTTTGATTTAACAATCATGTGCATCTTATTAGCCATTATTGCATTTAATCAATTATTATATAAGCCTATCAAAGTTATATATTACAACTGGCCACTGCAAATATTGTCATATTATTATTAATCGTAGTAGTAGTGGTAGTAGTAGTATTAAAACTGTGCTACTTTTGACCCTTTATGTTGAGATCCCCAGTGAAGACCTTGTCTCCTAGATGGCCACCAGGGCAAGACCACAGGAACCAGACGAGTCCTCTGCACAATCTGACTCCGCTGCAGCCTGGACTTGAACTGCTGGGTTTGTCTGGTCAGAGGAGAACTGGCCCCCAGACCGAACCTGGTTTCTCCCAAGGTTTTTTTCTCCATTCTGTCATCGATGGAGTTTTGGTTCCTTGCCGCTGTCGCCTCTGGCTTGCTTAGTTGGGCAGCGACATCGTCGACTTGATTGCACAGATACTATTTAAACTGAACTGAGCTGGATGATGACATCCATTGTCCTTTTGCATTATTGACACACAATCTGTATTGTTAAAAGTGCTATTTAAATAAAGGTGACTTGACTTGAGGAAAAATGTAGCTTGTCTAAATCTAACCCTAGAACTACAATATTTAAATAAAATAATGATAGATAAAAAGCAGGTGCACTGCTGACTTTAGGCCTGGACCTAGATCAAAATCAAAGCTTGTTATGGTGATAAAGTTGGATATATGAGTAGCACATTAAAATCTATGTAAACAATTAGGGTAATTACTCTCTAATCAGCAGACGCATTGATTGGCTGCTCTTGTCAAGTGCAGTTTTCCTACAGTCACTCACTTTCACTATGATGTGGGGATTTGGACTGTTTCAAGTAACATAGTACTTTATCATGAATCGAGATGCTTAACTGAAGTGATTCCATTCAGAGTGGCATCCCAGAAATCACCAGTTGAGTGTTAGTAAAGAGAAGAGGCAAGTCTGCTAAAGAAACCATCCAATATTTGATTCACGAAGACAAAACTTATAGATTTTAAATTGTTTGAATGGTGTGCAAATCCAGTGCATTCTAAATTGACAAGCCGTTGAAGGACCATTACAATTTCTCAGTCGAATCTGAAATTACCCCAAGGTCACATCAGTCTATTGAACTGTGTGCTGCCTACTGGCTATCGACCAAATGCATGCCGTTTGAATGTCTGAGGTCAGAATGAAAGTTTGCCTCTTTGAAAACACACTGTATAAAAAAAATCCTATGCATGCCCTTAGATGCTTGATCGATAAACAGATTGCGCTAATTCTTAAAGCAAAAAAAATGTATATAATAAAAAGATACATGTAGAGGGAATTAAAGTGGAACGACAGTTGCATCAAAAACTTCCAGTGACATTCAGAGCTGTTTTTAGAGAGGATCTTCGATTGTTACTTAAGCCAACACGCCCACCTTCCATAAGAGTGTGAAAGGTCACTGAAGGGATTTGACAGCCCTGAGCGTCTGGTGGGTGTCTCTGACAGCTGTCAGACTGGAGGAGTTCGTTCTATGTTGGAGTTATCAGTCAAGAGAAGAGTCTGTTTCATCAGTCATATCATTTCATTGATTATGCCCTGATGTATGTAGGTCAACAACATTGTGCCTTCAGCTACAGTTGTCCAAGGACAGCAATCAATAGAATTCACACATTGTTTTCCGACATTGAAGCATGCATGATGCTTTTTTTCATGTTTTTGTTTGCTACCACCAGTGGGAGAGCATGTCGCTGGTGTTTGAGTGCATGCGTGTCTCTCACTGTGCTTTATGGCTGGAAGGTGATTTAATGGGGGCTTCTGTGTGAATGGACAGAACTCTGAGAGAAAACAAATCAGAGCACACTTGCTAATGCACCGAGGACTGTTGGAACACTGGGTTCAGTTTCAGAATGAAACTTTCAGAGCCCTGAAGTTTTGAAAATGGCCTATTGTGGTATTGACTTAATACGCAATATGTTAATTGTGAAATATATTCGGTCACACTTTAGTTTGGGGACCAGTTCTGACAATTAACTATTAACTGACTTTTGCCTCAATAAACTCCTAATTTGCTGCTTATTAATAGTTAAGTTTAGGTATGGGTCAGGATTAAGGGATTTAAAATATGCATAATCATGCAGAATAAGGATGTAATAAATGCTAATAAACAGCCAATATGCTAGTAATATGCATGCTAATAAGCAATAATGAGAATTGGACCCTAAACTAAAGTGTTGCCATATATTCTATACTCGCAATTACGACTGCATCTTAGTGTTTAGTGGCCTTCTTATTCCTCATCTCATTATTGTTTACTTGAATTTTCTAAGAATAAATGTAAATGCAACAGAGGAAAACTGCATTGCAGGGATCAGTTCGTCTTTTTTAATCCAAATAAATGCTTTAAATGAAAAACCTTGGATAAGAAAATGCAGGCAACTAAAGCCAGCGTGTTTCCTGACAGCGTGTAACTTCTGAAGACAATATCAAACACTCTTCATTTTGGCAAGACTGAGCTATTTTAGTATCTTAACAGTTGTGTCCATGAAAACAAATGGCCAAGTACTTACACCTTGTATGTGAAGAATGATCATCAGCTGGTCAAATAAGTCACAGCAGACATCCTGCTGAGCTGATGTTGCACTTCAAACTCCACTGACAGAGTGTTAGAGACAAACAATGCAGTGTTTATTCAGTCCTGTCAATAGATTCAGTAATACTATTAAGTATCAGTTACAGAAGATCCACCATGTATTATATATTATATTATATACTGTATATTCAAAATGTTTGTCAAAACTTAAATGACTTGATCATATATAATATACCTTCATATAATACATAACGTAATATTTATAAATTGTATATTGTTGATATTTTTTTGTTTTCTTTTGCTGAATTGGGAATGTGAACACTGCTAAGATTATGTTCTCAGCACCTCAGAAAAGCAAGTTGATCCTACTTCAGAACTACTGGAGCATTTAACTTAAGAAATATGTGACCATTATATCCTGAAGGGTAAAGTCTAACTGGCAGAATGTGCCACTGTGTATGCAGCAGTTACAAGCAATCTGAACTCAAGGCATAGTTCAAAAAAAGCTGGGTCGTGATTGGAGGAAATGCCCGGGACACAACAGATATATGCAAAGCATGCAAGCAGAACACGCTGTGATTGGCCAGAGCTCCTCCTGTCTCTGTGCATAGTAGGAGAAGGAGTGAGTAGAGTAAAGCAGGCTGCATTAGAGACTGGCTTCCCCAAGCAAACACGTGCCTGCTCGTCACATGACTCCCGTTTTCACTGCCGGCGCCTGACCGTGAATAGTGCTTATGCTTGCTGTGTCAGTTAGATGAAAAGACAAGGATGATTGCACAGGTGAAAGTTGAAAGGAAAACGGTCTAATCTTACAAAAACACCCAAGAGCAAAGGTGACAAACAATTTGACCATGCAGATGACATTTTTCCATACATATTCATTTTAAATATATAAGGAGTAGACATCATAAGATACTACCAGTGTGTAGGTGCATGTATGTGGGAGATATATATATAGAGACCTACAGTATATTGATACAAATACATCTTACCAACCAGTAAAAACATTATTTTTGCCATGTAGCTTAATTCTGAAAAAAATAAATATAATCAGATATTCCTGGATATAAATATAGCCTATATTAGAATTTTAGATATTAGTATTTATGGCTAAAATATATTACAAATAATAGAGCACCCATTCACTGTGCATAGGTGTAGTACCTGAAAAAGCAACAACAAATACCATATGATCTTGTATTTGACTAACCAAACCTTAGTTGAGTGAAATATGTCTGAAATATTGACTTAAAACGATGCAACATCTCTGTTGTGGTGTATATTGATCTTGAGTACACGCGCGCACACAAAAACCCTCTACTACAGCATATGTTTATACAAATAAATGATAGATCTCTTCCTTAGCAGAATTCACATTATGTGTTTGAATTTGAATGGGGAAAAACAAGACGTTTTAGAAATCTGTCTTCTGGGAATAGGTGAAAGCCAAAATGGAAGTTTTGTTCAAGAAGCTTGAATCCTCAGACCAAATGCTTCACTTTTATCTTTGACCTGATCTATCTGGAATTATCCATTATTCTAGCGCATATCAAAACAAGGGGTTGCATTGGACAAAGGATAGAGGCTTTTTCTGTCTGGGGTCTGTGGGCGATTGACCTGCAGGGCCTTGTGCATTGGTTTGAGAGTGTCTGAGCCTTAGTCATCACAGCATGTGTGTACACTGCTGCATGGGTGGCATTCCATCACTAAACCTACAAGAGTCTTCAAAGACACACCCATCAACGCCTTCACACTAATGTAGTGTGTTTGCGAACTAGGCTGTGTGCAAAGAACCGAAATTCAATGTAAATTATGCATTTACCAAACTTGTAGCAACCAGCATCTCCCCACCTACATGCTCTATTTACACTTATGCCCGTTTGCAGGAAAGAAGGTGGCTGTTGCAGCGGCTGAGTTATTACCATGCCTTGCATCAATATGGGTAGGAATGGTTGACGCCATTGCTGCAAACCACTGGAAAGCACTGTGACAGTAGGCGCGTTTCCATTACCCTTCAAATTGCGCAAACTGAAATTGCGAATTGAAAATACGCTTAATGGAAACGCGTCAATTTCACAAAAACGGCCATATATCGCAAAAAAGTTTTTACGCTCGCATGAGGTGGTTTTTCAGGCAATGCGCAAAAGGATTAATTCGCAAAACTGCAGTGGAAACGGCTTTTTCGCATTTACAGGTCACATGGCGTATGTAAAAAGTAATATGACCATTCTTCAATGTACTATAACCTCCAAGAAACACTTCATAAGTGGCCGCGCTCCAGTATAAGGGACTTTCCCTACTATTAATACTTAGACAATTTACACTGCACACGTCTGCGGTGCAGTATGGCTCTGATACGGTCACTGAAGCTGATTACGGCCACTCAATGCTTGTGTTTATGTTTTTATACAGTCTATGGTTTATTCCAGCCGCGCCACACACGTTTCTGAAGCGGCTCTCTTTGCTGCTTCTGTAAAGATACATGCATAAGCGTCCTTTGAATAAATATAGCCAAAATCCCACCAAAATCCGTTGCCATGACTTATCGCGAGAGGCAAAAGGTTACGTTTTAGCCGCATAACATCGGTTAATGGAAACGCCGTCATTTCGCAATACTTTTTTATCGACATTCAGAAAATATTGCCAAAGTTTTGCGCAAATCTGTATTGGAAACGCGCCTACTGAGATAAAGATCTTAGGCCTGGTGTCCTTTTGAGAGTTGCTGACAGTTTTGGACAGCTGCAGGGTAGCGTCCAAAAAGAGATGCCCATCCTAGCCTATCAGGATCTGACAGATTCGGTCTCCTAACAAGGTGCCATCTGAGTTATTTAGTAAGGCCTCCCTTTGGTCTGTTGTCCACCCAAGCAATTAAAAATTAATGAGTATGAAATTTCCCAGACCAGGGTTCCCTTTCCAATGGATACAAGTGACTGGAACAAGACCCTTCTGGACTGGATTGCTAGTGTGTTTTAGTGGCAGTGTTGTAACAATTAGACATTTGGCAGATGCCTTTATCGACTGGCATACATGTTATCCTTATACATGCACATGTTAACTGCCTGCCATTTTGAAATGGTCACATCACACAAGGTTGATTTGGGTCTCAGCTGGGTCTTTGTTTTGAGGAGGATCTAGTGTTATCAGGCCATGGGAAAGGTTAAGCTATAGTCTGTGCTGATAGCCCACCTGCTGAAACGCTGCGCACACAGCCAGATGCCGCCCAGCCAAAGTAGGCCAGATTAGTATTGGAACCAATGTGCAGTCAAGTGTTCCTCCATTCTCGCTCTGTACGGCCCAGTGCTACGTAACTCGGCCTCCCCTGAGACGTGTTGATTTATGGCCATGAGCACCAAGAGGGACAAATGGCTCTAATCCCGACAGCACAATTTCACAAGCTCGGTGACAACCACGTTTAGAAATATTAGGAAAATGCTTAACAATCAGAGTCATAAACATGGATCCTGTTCAATGAGAAGGAAGACCTTGAATTGCAAGCTCTTGGATACAAGCAGAGGCACACACATATATGAGCGCACCTCATGAGAGAGCCCACACTGAAGTGTTCTATAAAGCACCAGGATGCATAATGTAATTTTTGAAGGACATTATATGAGTTTGATAGACTGTCACCTCAGAAAGAGGATAGATGGAGTAGCAGGCAAGAATGGGAGGAAGATGGGTTTTTAACATTTATGCAATCTTTGGAAGCCCGGGGGCGTATCTGGAGATATCATAGGCATATCTTGACATTTACATGATGGAGAATCATAAACAGAGCCGAGCTTGAAGGAAGGCTAAACAGTGCAAAGGGAGTTTCTCTCCACATGTGACATTCACACCAATTTCACTTTGCTCATGACTGAGCAGTAGGATCACATCACTCACAGTCTCACACTTTCAAACACATTTAGCAAAAATGGACTATATGCAAATTAA